CAGGCAGGCCGGGTTTGCCCAGGACTAGGGCTGCAAATGGAGGGGCTTTTTTTTTTTTTTTGAAGGATGAGATTTAATGAAGGAGGAGGAAGGTGGTTTTTTTGGAAGGTGTTCACAGCCAGTACTAACAGGCGCTGAGGTTTGGGGGAAAATTTGCTTATTAGCTACCTCAGCTAGCATTTGGGAAGGGAGACAGACAGAAATGCTTGGCTGTCTTGCAGCCCCTGCAAGCTGCTGAGCCTTTGGTCAGGATGAGATGAGAGCCTTCCACTGGTGCTGAAATCACCGGTGGGCAAGATCTGTGATGTTCAGCCCCAAAATGATGGGGCGTGTGTGGTTTGGGGCTTTTTATTGTGCCTCTCTCCAGCCATTCCTCTGTGGCGGCCTCTCAGGACCTTTCGTCCTGGGGCCTGCATGTACCACCCTCGGCTGCTTGAGCTGTTCCTCAGCGGGTGGCGGGGCCTGGGCGATGCATTGGTACCCGCTTGGAGCCATCAAGGAGAGGGCTAGGGCAGGGGCTGTGGGTGGCTGGAGAGACGCTTTGGAGATGAAGATCAACAGGCAGAAAACAATGTGGGAGATGGATTAGTTTTGGGGGCTACAGGACCAGGGCCGGGAGGGACAGGCGATGCTGAACACGAGGCTCCCTCCCGCCTGGGAGGCTGCACAAAGCTCACAGGGCCGGGCCCTGCTTTTGCCGCTGTGGGCTCTCCCAGTGGACATCGGCCTCCACGGAGCGTGGCAGGAAGAGCAGGGCAGGGAAAAGAAATGCGTCTCCTCAGGTGGTCTGGGAAGTGTCGGGGAAGGGACTGGCACGCAGCAAAGAGGGAGAGACCTCGGCAGTGCTACCGAGGGGGATGGCGAGTGAAGGCAGTGGATGGCGGCTCTCCCAGAGCACCGGGCTGGGTGTTTTGGAGCAGCTCGCCGTGGTGCTGGCAAGGTAAGGACTCGAGGCCTCTCCCTCCCGATGCAGCCTCGAAGCAGGGTTGAGCCCTGCATGGGCCACATCCTGCAGTGGGGCTGAGCCCACAGCCAGCAGCCCCTTTGCATGGTGGGGAGGGGATGCAGCCCGGCTCTGCCTGCTCCCCAAGGGCAACACGGGGCTTTGGGTCTTGCTGGCTGCCGTGCGGACACGCCAGTCCACCCTAACGCCGAGCAGTGCTGGGAGGATTGCTGGACTGGGAAAACGGAGCTGGAGGCATCCATTTTCTTAGTCCTCCTCCCTGGAGGAGAGCCTCACCCAGGGTTTTCAGTGCCTCTCCTGCTCCTGCTCACATTTATCTTTTTACCATGGCAGGGAAAAATGTCACAGTGACAGCTGATTGCTTTAGGTGTTTTACCATCAGTCTTTACCGGCATTCTCCAGCCTCTCTGTGTACATCCATTACTTTGTCAATAAGGATAACCAGGACAAATAAAGCTGCTCTCCTTCCTCTCTCTCAGCTCTGCGGTTTAGGGAGGCCCAGCGACTATTTATTCAGGCACACTGGCTCCGAGCTGTCTACCACCCAAAAACGAGAGCTCCCATTTTCCTCTCGAGCTCAGCACAGCCCTGCAGCTTTAATAGCATCTTTGGTTTATGTAGTCTGACCTGTGACTTCAAGGTTAACAAGGAAGTATTCAGAGCCTTCATTTCTCCTTGTCTTTCTTTTTGCTCTTTCTCTGGCTGGTCAGTTCACTGAGCTTCTTGTCCAGGCGCCGCTGGAGATGGGCTCTCTTGGCTGGGTCCAGGGACTTGTCTTTGGAGCCGCTCCCGGGGTAGAGAACCCCTTCTCTGCTGATCCTCTGCCGTGCCTGGGCCTTGGCCTTCTCCCCACAGCCGTGAACCTGGCAGAAAGAGAATGGACACTCGTGGCAGCCAGGAAAGAGGGCAGTCATAGTGCAGGTGGGAACCAGGCGACTATTTCTGGAGCCCGGAATTCCTCTTCTACCTGCTTTGCGCCCCCCTAAAACCATCTCCCATTTATTTATAGCTCCTCGAATAGAAAACAAAATATAAAGGTAATTTTTCTCCTTCTGGAATCTGCACGGCAGGGAAATCACCCTTTTGCATGGTTTAAGTGCCTCCCAAAACTTTAAACATCTGGGGAAAACTTGCACTCATCGTGTGAACAGCTGGATCTTTTACCGTTCTCACGTGAGAGCTAGAAAGAAACCTGAGCTCCCGATTATGTTCCCTGCTAACACAGTATGACTTGGGGGAAAAAGGAGGGAAACAGGAAAGGTGGCCTGGGAGATAAGAGAAGACCTTTTTAGCCATATACCTGCTGCTTTAATGTAATTAGATCTGTCTTCTGCACGGAAATAAAAAAAGCTTCATAATGCTAATTTTATGCAGGCAAACCTTTCCCAAAACCAGTCTGCCCTGAAGCCCAGGCCATGTCTGAGGTGCCTTAAGTCAAGTTCAGCACCATCCTGAATCATCTCCACCAGGTCTAAATTAGAGATCCTAAAAGTTTACCCCTTCTGCTTGGTCCATCCCAAAGTCATTTGATGTCTTCACGGACATAAGCTGATCTGAGGATCGCAGCCTGTTCTCTCCGTGCCGTGACAAACCTTCCTGTTCCCGTTAGTGCTGCTGGAGCAGGTTGTCAATGGCCAGCCGTAGCCGGGCACAGCACCCGGCACACGGCTCCCAG